TGAATTAAATCAATTTTAAGAAGATCTTTAAAAAGTCTTAAAAAGGCTTATTAAAATGCCTTTTGACATTGCATGGTAAAATCTCAAAATAATTGTAGTTACGCAGATCAGGCATAAAAACAATTCTTAAAAAGTCTTTGTTCTTACTTACCTTAATTTGTAGTGACTGGTTGTTTTATAAACTAAAATACACATGGAGGACTAAAGCTGCCAATGTTTAAAATGAATTATGACTGGAAAAACTATTAAATGTACCTAAAACAATATTAAAAATAAATGTATGCATTAAATAACTCATTTATAAAATATCTTAACTTAAGTATTTTTTCCCTTACTTTTTTTCCAGTTACTAAAAATGTTTTAAAAAAACGTAAGGTCCAACACCAACTTGTGTTTTGCTTTATTACAATATGCTTCTGTTTGTGTTGTGTTTCTGTCTGTCTCTGCAGGTCTATCACTATCATATCAACTTGCTAAAGTCTCACATCAAATCTTATTCTTAGTGAAGATCACTTCTTTTTTCCTGCAGGCCTATCACTGGTACGAGCTGGGTCATAAGCGTGGTCACTTTGCGTCGGTGTGGCAGAGATCTCTGTACAACGTGGCAGGTCTGAAGGCTCAGCCCTGGTGGACCCCTAAGGAGACGGGATACACCAACCTGGTGAAGGTAAGGTTGGTTTAAAGTGTTAAAACACTGGTTTTATTCAGTAAAAGTGTTTGAAACCAGAGCTGTGTGTGTGTGTGCAGACGCTGGAGAGGAACTGGAGGACGATCAGGGACGAGGCTCTGGCCGTGATTGACCAGAACACCGGCTCATTCGTCCCGGAGGAGGAGAACCTGAGAGAGAAAGGAGAGTGGGGACAGAACACACTTTGGCAGCAAGGTACTCATATAAATATACAGAGAAAAAGAAGAAAAATAGTAATAAATGATAATGATAATATCAATGTAAAGTGCAGCAATAATGAGGGTTGAATGTATTGTTGTGTGTTTTAGGAAAAAAAGCAAGTGCCGCCTGTCAGGGGGTCCCGAAGACCTGCGCACTGCTGGAGAGATACTCAGAGGCTACAGGCTGCAAGAGAGGACAGGTACACACACACACACACACACACACACACACACACACACACACACACACACACACACACACACACACTCACACTCACAGAACGCAGGCACATGGGACTAATGATAATAACATTCCAGGTTATATCATTACTACAAAAAAAAGGGCTGTGTCAGAAAAAACATCTGCCTTTTTTATTTAAAACAGGTCTCTTATATTTGGGTCAATATTGTTTGTGGTCGGATGCTGTTGAGTGCGCCATGTGCTGATCTTAAGGATTAAATTGCTAAAAATATCCCAAAGTGTTTGGATTTAAAATTAAATCTATGTTTTTAACCTTTAAACGAGGAAACATATCAACACAACTGTTTTATTTGATTCTCCTTGTATATACCTTTTTCATTTATTCCTCTTTATTTGTTTATTTAATTGTACTTTTAAATATATTTGCTAATTTTTAAATGGTTTTTTATGTATTATATAAAATAGTAATATATTATTATCTGTTAATAATAGGGATGCTCCGATCGCCAATTTCGGGGCCGATCGCCAATCAGTATCGGCCGATACCGATCGCCGATCCGATCGAGTGGGCGGGGCCTAAATGGAAGATTTAAACATCACTTTAAATCTTCCATTTAAAGTGATGTTTAAACTCAGTTAATGCTCATTCACTGGAGCTTCCACAAACAACAACCAACTTAATTATTACATTCAAATGATGTACATTATTCAAGTTTACATTCACTTCACGGGATAAATGAGCGGAAGCGCTCTCTTTTCCTCTCTCCCTCTCTCTCTCCCCCTCTCTCTCTCTCTCTCCTGACAGCCTGTCAGTATCTCATGCAGCTCACTGATCCAGTAATGAGTGACCCGACAATGAAGAATAAATATATTTATAATAACTAGTTTAGCTTGTTCCAGAGGTAGATAAAATAGCTAAGTGTGTTAAGTCTTACGGTACGTCCACACATCAGCTTTTCAAAAATCTTGAAAATCTTGGAGCTGGGCGTGTCTGAAAGCTTGGGGATTTTTTGCGAGCAACGCGACCAACAACCAATCACATGAATCTCCCGCCCCCGACATACAAAGCAAAAAACCCCGGGGATTTTATGCGAGCAATATATATATATATAAACTCCCCAAACAGGCGAAAACCTACCAGTTTCACCCACTGTCTCTGCCACCCTCCCTCCATGTCTGGTTCCTCCGGTTTGTATCCCGTTAATAGTTCTGGTCGTAAAGAACCGGGTGATTTGCTACCGTAATTTCTCGTTTGGAATATGAGGAAATGAACTGCGGTCTGGTTCTCCCTGTGTGTGTGTTTCGCTGCGCTTACCGGTCCGGCGGGCGGAGCTGCAGGATTTCTGCTTCACACACGTTGCATACCGCTATTTTACTGTCTTTTTCGGACACCTTAAAATAATACCAGACTGGTGAAGCCATGTTGGCGAGCTTGTTTTGCCGCGCACAGAGAAAAGTGTCATGTATTTTACATCATGCGATCGGCTCTCGCGATCGGCATGTTTAGAGAGCACCGATCGATCGGTAGAGAGTGAGTATCGGCCGATCTCGATCGGTGACCGATCGATCGGAGCATCCCTAGTTAATAATAATAGAAATAATAATAGATATTAATTTAAAAAAAACACTTTTCATATTACTCAGACACTTAATTTACATTTTTGAATTATCATTTAAAAATACACTAAAACAGAAGTGCATTTATCGAGTTTAAGTTTAAATAAGGAATTACCGGTATCTAATGGTGTGTTCTAATCTTCCTATTTGTGTGTGTGTGTGTGTTTTGTCTCTGTGTGTGCAGATTAAGTTCTCTGTGATGCAGCCAGGGACTCATGTGTGGCCCCACACCGGCCCCACTAACTGCAGACTGAGGATGCACCTCGGCCTCGTCATCCCCAAACAGGGCTGCAGGATCCGCTGCACCGACATCACCAGGTACTGCTCCTCTTCATCACGCATCATCGTTATTTACTTCCTCCACCATCACCTTCTTCCCTGTTTCCCCTCATCTCCATAACATTTAATTCAAAAGAAAGAAAGCATGTGTGTAAAAATATTGAAATAAACTGCATCTCATTAAGGCGAGGTGCTTTAGGTTATTTATAAAATATTTGAGAAAGGAGGAGGACGTCACTTCCTAAGGGCGATTCCCTTATCATTTATCAAAACATCTGTAACTTCTCATCTCTCATTATCAAAAATGTAAATCACAAATTTACAAGAAAATAAATCTGGTATTCTCTCAGATTATATTTCTAATTTAACAAGAACAAATAACAATTAACTTGAAGAAAAACTCCAAAGTCTCTGATATTAAAATAGTATATCTGCTACAAGAATTTTTTTTGAATATTCTCTGAAAATAAATGATCTCCCTGTACAGATTTTTGTTTGAGAAACAAACAAATCCATGTTAACGGATCGTTTTAACCTCGCTAACTTCTTCCTGTGCTTCAGGGAGTGGGAGGAGGGCAAAGTCCTGATCTTTGACGACTCCTTCGAGCACGAGGTCTGGCAGGACGCCGACAGCTACCGGCTGATCTTCATCGTGGACGTGTGGCACCCCGAGCTGACGGCGCACCAGCGGCAGACCCTCAGCCCCATTTAAACACACACACCCCTGGTGAGAGTTTCACACACTCATCAGATTCTTCTCCTCCTGTGGATAAACTGATACAAACTTTGAGGAGAATCACGACGGAATGCAGACGTTTTTTAAACTTTTTTTTGTGTGGATAAACTACTAAAATAGTCTGAGGAAGGACCGAAGCATCAGACGGAAGGGTGGAGTTGAAAAGTAACTACTGACTTTACAACCTTTCACAAATAAAACACATAATACGGTACGTCTTTCAGCCCAGAGTAACCCTGTTTGGATCGGGTTATTCATGTGATGGATTTAAAGTCTTCTTACTGGATCTGGAATATTTCTGCGGGGGGAAATGGACGTCATCTGCGGAGCCATTTTCTTTCACAAACATAGACATGTTTCTTAGTCAGGAAACAAACACAGTTCTCTGGTGTTTCATACAACAGAATATAAGAGTCATTCCAATATGTAAGTGTTACATTAATGAGAGGATAACTCCTTTACATTAAATTAGTGAATCACCGAAAAAATGTATAAACCTGCTAGAAAATAATTTTGTCTTCTACAATTAAAAATGAACTTTTTTTTTTTTTTTATCTGAAATTACGCACAAAACACTGGCAGTTAACAAGAAAAAAAACTCAAAGGCTCACAGGAAATACTTTTTGTATATTCTCTGAGATTAAAAAGTATAACACTTAGTAGAGAATTATGTTAAATTTGCATGAAAATAATGCTCAATTTTCTGAGAATAAGGGACTCCTTCTCACGGCATTTTTGTAAACCAACCACTATAATCTTGGGAAATATTCATGTTTTCTTTTGTTACTTTGCAAGTTATTTCATGAATTGACCACTCTTGGAATATCCCAAAAAATGTTATAAATGAACTACTTAAATCCCAAAGTTTCTTTCTCAGAATATTACACAGGCTACATATTTTGGTGTCACTAATAAACCATCAGAATATCTTGCCACGAAAAAAAGATTTAGATTATATTGTATAATATAAAAATAATATTTTCATTTCACTTTAAAATGTCTCACACCCATTTAAGATAACGTTTCTTTTGCATTTTATGAAAAAAAAAGCCTTAATTTCGACCACAGTGCATTTTCTTTCAGTTCATCAAGATTTCAGTTTCACTTTTTCATCCCGTTTGCACAGAAAACACAAGATGTTGTCAAAGATGATTTATATTTATATAAAAACCACTAAACAAAAGTGTGTGTTTCTTTGGATTTTCATGACACGTGTTGCTTTTGAATGTTCCCTTACAAAATAAGAGCCCCATGCCTAAATGAATCACAGCACATTCCTGTTGGTGTAAATGTTTACTTCTATACATTCATTGAAAGGAAATACATTACATTACAGTCGAGTGGAGATCAGTGTAGCCCTGATGAGTCAAACTGCAAAAAATCATGACACACTGGCCTCTATAATTTACAAATACTCCAAGATATTTGGTGAAATTATCAACCTGCTACTTAACCTTTCTTTCCTCAGAAGTACATGAAACGTTTTACAGCGCAGGATGATAATTACACTTAAAATATCTCAGGATAAAACAGGCCAAGAGTGTCAGTCTTTTTGCAGTGTGATAATACTTATACTAATGTACAATCTTCATAATATTAATAAGTTAGATTCAATAAAAACAATCTTTCCCTACACTTCAGTCGAGGGTAAAGGTGATGATTTGGCATCCTATGGTTTCTTCACAGCACAATACTTTATCTGAAAGAAATATTTCACTCTGGTACAATATTTGTTTTGAGGTTTTCATGCATGTGATCCCATTAGTGATTAGCAATTGGTGGCAACATGTGCAGTGCTTTCATTTAGAAAAACGTGTGCAAAGTGCCTGTGGTTTTTACAAGAAAGAAAAAAGGTGAAATTATTCTACCAAAGTGAGGTTTCTTATTCGTCCTCCTGGTTTTAATGAATGTCTTTCTCCTTCAGATTATCGGGACATAAATGTCAGAAAAATACAAAGTATTTGATTAATATTTTGAGGAAATACTCCAGCAAGTAGATAACGAAGTTAGAGCCACCCTGTCAGTTACCTGAACTGTAGATTTAAGATCGGAAAGCAAAAGATAAATGCTCTTCCAAACATTTAAGGCTGAGTTTCACCAACAAGCATTGTCTTAACTTCTGAATTAAAACATGTATTTCTTTTGGTGGAACCCACTTTGAATGTTTCTTAATTTTTATGGATATGATTTTATATTTTGTCAGCGATTTCCTCTGAGGTTTAAATAGAGTTTCAGCCTCAGAAACAGATGAAATGTTCCTCATACATTCCCCCTTGTTTCTGACAGAATTACTAAATTAAAACTTGAAGCTGAAGGCGACACACACACAGACATAGACTTCAGAGTGTGTGTTTGTTGTTGTTGACAGATGCTGCTGTTTGCAGAGAGGCTCAGCTGTGAGGCATTATGGGCTCAGAGACAGACTGTGTGTGTGTGTGTGTGTGTGTGTGTGTGTAGGAAATTCATTGTCAGAGTTCATGTTGCTAAAGGACGCCACCAGCTTGATACACAGCAGTGTTTCTAAAAGTGGGTGTCTGTTGCAGTCTGTACATGATGTGTGTGCGGGGCAGTGTGTGTGACGGCTCTAGTGTGTGTGTGTGTGTTCAGTCTAGGGCGAGGAGCGGCGTGCTGGTCTCTCTGTCCGTTTGTCGGAGAGTTCCTGGCTCCACCACCGACTGAGACCTGAAACCCAGAGAAGAAATTAATCTGATACTCAGATAGGAGGAGGAGGATCTTTGTCTCCCCCTTACCTCTTCTCTGTGTACCTGTCTTCCCCCCTCACCTCTTCATCAGCTCCTTATCTCCCCCGCAGCTCTCCCTCACATGCAGAGCGTCGTAGGTCAGTGTGTACTCCGTCTCGTCGCTGTAGTCGGGTCCCAGCAGCGTCCTCGCCCAGATCCCCATGTCGTAGGGAGGGAGAGTCCCCCCAAACTCTGAGGGGAGACACTCCGGCTGCAGGAGGACATGCAGCGAGTTCAGGTTGTTCCCGTGGAGGAAGATCTGAGGAGAGAGGGTAGGACGCATGGTGAGGGAGGACAGGAGATCAGGAGAAGAAAGGAGTGGAAACAAGCATGTAGAGGAGAGGATGCAAGGACAGGAAATAAGGTGAGGATGGGAAGCAACGAGAGGAGCTAAGTAGACAGGAGAGGAAACAAGAAGAGGAGTGAAAGGGAGGAAGCCAGTACAGGAGAAGAGAGAATAGACAGAGATCAGGAGAGAGGAGACAAGTAAAGGAAATGAGGAGAAGACAAGAAAAGGGAGCGTGGGAAAAGGAAAGCAAGCATATAGAGGACAGGAAACAAGCAGAAGGGACAAGGATAGCAAGCAAGGAGATAAGAGGAAATTAGGAGAAATAAATACAAGGGAGGAGGGTGTTATAATCGAAGGAGATAAAAGACGAAAATCTGTTAATTAAATAACAAAGAAGAGGAGGAGAAAAGGGTGAAAATTAAATAGAGGAAGTGGAAGACAATTGGAGAGATGAAAAAGAAATAGCAGAAGAAAGAGAATAAGACTTGGATACGGGACACAAAATACTTCTTTTCTTTTTACCCTTTTCCTGGTCTTGTCCTTGAGGAAAGGCTTGATGATAGTGTACATGGCGTGAATATACCACGGCTGATTCACAAAGTGGATCCCTCCAAAACGGGCCGGAAAACTGTCCTGAGGAGAGGAGACAAGGAGGTGAGGAGACGAGGATAGCAAGACACCAGGAAAGAAACATGAGAGGAGAGGACACAAGGAGAGGAACGAAAAACAGAAAAGAAAGAGGGAGAGACAAGAAGAGGAGATAAGACGAAAGGAACCAAGAAGAGGAGGAAGTCGAGATGAGGAGATGAAAAAGAAGGAGAAAGGACACAAGAAAGGAGAAGGGACATCAAAAATAAGAAAAGACCAGAGGAAACAAAGAGGAGACAGAACAAGAGGAAACATGATAGTGTAACAGGCCTGGGCAGATAAAGAGGAAAGTGGTAGTGCAGCAATCACGACAGAGGCAGTGTTCAAATCCAAAAAAGGCTTTATTGCTATCAAACTCCAAAAATGCCTTCCATTAAACAAAGGCCGCTAACCGACTTACCAGCTTACAAAAAACGTTTCCTTACACTTCCCCCCCCCCCCCCCCCCCCCTTTAGTTCTGGCCTAGGAGAGGCGACCTTGGTCCACAGGGCATCTGCATTCCCATGCTTGGCTCCGTGTACGATAGAAAAGTTAAACTCCTTTAGTGAGACAAACCACCTTCCTACTTTAGCGTTTGTGTCTTTTTGATTTGCCATCCAGATCAGTGGGGCATGATCAGTTACCAGAGTGAAGTGACGTCCCAAGAGGTAATACCGGAGGCGCTCAAGTGCCCATTTTATTGCTAGGCCTTCTTTCTCCACAGTAGCATTCCCTTGTGTTCAGCTTCCGGCTGATATACATGACGGGATGTTCCTCACTGTGAACCTCCTGGGATAGTACTGCTCCTATGCCCACCTCTGATGCATCCGTCTGCACAATCATCCCCCGGCTGAAGTCTGGGGTCACCAACACCGGCCGTGCACAGAGAACCCTCTTCAGTCCCTCAAAGGCATGTTCAGCCTCTCCTGTCCACTTGACCATTAGCGGCTGTGAGTCTCTGGTCAGGTCTGTAAGGGGAGAGGCTACTGTGGAGAAGTTTGGGATGAAACGGCAATAGTAGGACGTCAGACCCAAGAATATTTTCACCTGTTTCTTTGTTGATGGCCGTGAACCTTCCTTTTTTGTGGTCTAACGTTGCCGCGCCCAATGGTGAAGCCCAGGTATTCAGCTTCCCCCAGTCCAAGCTTGCATTGGCTGTCAAGCCCGCCCTGCGAAGAGATTCCAGCACTGCTGCAAGCCTTATGAGATGGCTATCCCATGAGTCACTGTGGATAACAACGTCATCTAAATAGGCAGCTGCGTACTCACGATGTGGCCTCAGGACCTTGTCCATCAGTCTCTGGAATGTGGCTGGTGCTCCATGAAGTCCGAAGGGAAGCACAGTATACTGTTACTGGTACAGCCCTGTGGGGGTGGCGAAGGCCATCTTCTCTCTTGAGGCTGCTTCAAGTGGGACCTGCAATACCCTTTCGTCAAGTCCAGAGTGCTGATATATCTGGCTTCCCCAAGCCGATCAATCAGCTCATCTATCCTGGGCATAGGATACGCATCAAACTTGGAGATTTCATTCAATTTTCTGAAATCATTACAGAACCTGTTGGTTTTGTCTGGCTTAGGAACCAGAACGACAGGGTTGGTCCACTCACTGTGAGATTCTTCAATCACCCCCATAGCCAGCATTTTCTGCACTTCTTGCTCAATGGCCGCCCGACTTGCCTCCGGCACCCGGTAGGGCCGCATCTTTACCTTTTGGCCCGGCTCTGTGTGGATTTGATGTTCCACCATCGTTGTGCGTCCAGGTCGTAGTGAGAACACATCCAAACTCTGCTGAACCAGTTCCTTGGTTTGCTGTAACTGAGCTTTAGATAGCCCTGGACCGTATTCAACTTCGGCCACCTCATTGTCTACTCCTGGAACTGGTTTTCCCTCTATTTCCGTAACATTGCTGCGTGCATGCAACAGATTGGGGTCTTCCATCTGGGCAGTCCCGAACTGGCCCTTCAAACTTGGAAGCAATGAGACTTCACCCTCCTCATCACCTGTGCTTAGGTCTCCAGGGAAAGCAACAAAAGGGTTATCATTTGCCTCATCTGCACTGGAAGATTGGTTTCCTCTCTGCTCCTCCGGCACAGCACACACAACTTTGGGGGACTGCTGAGGAGAAGTGCCCTGGGTGGCAATTTGTCCTTTCCCTCGTTTTCCTTTGGCACGCTTGGGCTTTTTGGGACTCACCTCCTTCTGGTGCCGCAGGCGCTTGTATAGTGGGCAGTCTCGCCCCACCAAGACTGGGACTGGTAGGGAAGGAACCACCCCCACTTTCAGCTACCTTTAACCGTGGTAAAGTGGATGAAGCATGTGGGGTATAATTTAGTGTCCCCATGGACACGGGTACAGTCTCTTCGGATGGCAAATGGTCGAGGAGGTGGGGTTGAATGAGGGACACCACACCTGAGTCCACTAGCGCCTCTGCATCTTTTCCATTTACTTTGACTGGTATCATTTGAGCCAGGGAGCTTTCCTGTACCCAGCAAGAGTCAAGAAGGTGGCAGGGCCTTGCACCAGATGCGTGGGCGGTCGGTATTAGCTCATCCTTCCCTGGGCAGTCCCAGGAAATGTGGCCTGTCTCCCCACACTGGTAGCAACGAGGTTGGCCCTCTTCTGGTTCCTGTGGCGGTTCTCGTGCCCGTCTAGTCCTTGATGCTTCCCCACTGACTTTCCGGCCCCACTCGGTGTTTGTTCGTGTGGACTTAAGCAGGTCCGCTGTGGCCACGTGGCTCTCCACTAGGTTAACCAACTCATCCAGACTGGCTGGATTCTGCTGGCTTGTCATTTTCTTGATCTCATAGGGCAGAGACCGAATGTATTTGTCCATCATTATCCTCTCTAAAACACTTTTCAGGGTTGCATGTCAGCCAGGCTCTGGTTACCCGGGCTAGGTCATACATCTGGGCCCTGGCTGACAACTCTGGCTTATATTTCCAGTCATGGAACCGCTGGGCTCTTGTTGCTAAGCTGTAGCCATACCGTAACCTCGCCAGGATTTCCCTCTTCAAGATGACGTAATCCTTTGCTTGGTCAGGAGGGAGGTCGAAGTAATAGAAGAGGCTCTGGATAGAAGAGGCTGCTATTAGGCATTTTTGGACCTCCACATGGAGAAGCGCATTCTGTTTCCGCTGCTCCTATATCATCTCCCGTTGCAGAGTCTGCTGCTCAGTATAAATGCGCACCAACTCTCTTAGTACATCCTCCATCTTAAAAAAAAAAATTTTTTTGTGCAACTTTTTGACTGCAACACCACCACTAGAGTCCTTATGCCCGCATTCTCCACCAGTGTAACAGGCCTGGGCAGATAAAGAGGAAAGTGGTAGTGTTCAAATCCAAAAAAGGCTTTATTGCTATCAAACTCCAAAAATACCTTCCATTAAACAAAGGCTAACGTAGCCGGGCCACTACCCGATTACCAGCTTACAAAAAACGTTTCCTTACACTGGGAGCCTCCATGTGCCACACACAACTGAGCAACTCTGTGTGCTTTGTCTCCCTTGAGGGAGTGATTAGCACCAGGTGTGAGGTCTCCACACCTGCTCCGAATACTGCTAATTGGAAGTGGGTGGAGCCACCTGTTGGGAATGTAGGTGCCTCCCACTACCCTGCCTCTCAGCCCCTTACAATAGGAAACTAGGGGTGAAAACAAACAGCAGAGGTGACTAGGAGGGGTGTGTGTGTGTGTGTGTGTGTGTGTGTGTGTGTGTGTGTGTGTGTGTGTGTGTGTGTGTGGTGTGTGTGTGTGTGTGTGTGTGTGTGTGTGTGTGTGTGTGTGTGTGTGTGTGTGTGTGTGTGTGTGTGTGTACCTGCAGCCCCTCGATGGCCAGCTTCAGGATGTTGGGCGTCAGTTTTGACGCCTGTTTGAAGGAGAAGTTGCTCCAGTCGATTATCAGGATGAATCCATTAATCTGAAGCTCAGGATTCTCTATCAGCACCTCCAAGGAGAGGAGGATCGCACGCAGGATATCTGTGAAGGAGTTCCTGAGGAGGGGGGGGGGGGGGGGAAGAAGAGGAAATAGAGGGGGGAGAGCACGTGAAAGGAGAGAAGAATGAGGTCGAGAAAAAAGGAAGAGGAAGATGAAAGAGTGGAGGAGAAAGAAAGAGAGGAAAAGGAAAGGTGGAAGTGGAGGAGGGCAATAAGGAAGATAGAATAAGTGGGGGGGAAGTGGATGAAGAGGGGAAGAAGGATGAGGAGCATGAGGAAGAAGAGGAGCAGGAATAAGGAAACAAAGTTGAGAAGGAAGGTTAAGGTGAGGATATTAATCAGCTCGTCATTAGTTAAACAGAGCGGTACAGAAACGACTCATTAGGCTCAATGTGTTTCGATCAATAGGTGTGTGTGTGTGTGTGTGTGTGTGTGTGTGTGTGTGTGTGTGTGTGTGTGTGTGTGTGTGTGTGTGTGTGTGTGTGTGGTGTGTGTGTGTGTGTGTGTGTGTGTGTGTGTGTGTGTGTGTGTGTGTGTGTGTGTGTGTGTGTGTGTGTGTGTGTGTGTGTGTTACCTGCTCTGGTCCCAGTTGGAGGCAAACAGGATAAGTATTTTGCGGCCGTGTTGGTCCGGAGTCTCCAGCACACCTGGGAAGCCGTCCATCAGAGCGCGCTTTATCCCGGGGTCGTCCACCTGACAGGAAACAGAGCACATTTAAAAAATCTCACCGGAGGAGATAAAAAAAAAGTTAACAAGGATTGGACTTCTGTTTTTGCAAATGAACTCTCAAATACAGTGTTGAGTAGGATTTCTTATACTTCCAGGGTTTGAAACCAGATATCTAAAGGTAAGACCCAGAGAAAAGTGGTACCTTGAAGCTCTGGAACATGTCGAGGTTCTGCTGTCTGAACTGAAAGTATTGGGCCAGCAGCCGGAAGGTTTCCGTCTGGTTGAACTTCCTCGCTCGCAGGAAGCGTAGGATGAAGTCGTCGTCCGTCCGCAGGAAACCGATGTCCGGCCGCGTCACGATCATGTCCCGCACCTCGAGAAGAAACGCATTCACAGGAGGAAAATAAGGATGAGCAGTAAGAGGTTTTAAAAGTAAATAATTCATCATAATCTAAACCAAATATTAAACAATATATTTGGACATATTTAGCTCAAATTAGATCCTGAAGCTTTACAGCATGTCAATTACTTTTTGTAATTTAATTAAATGAGGAATTTACACTACTAAAATACTTTTTTACTTGGAACATATGGAGGGCTGAAGCTGCCATACTGATAAATAAATAAATAAAATAATAAAGAAGGAAATGCAGTAATAAAAACCCCAATTGCTAACATGTATTCATTATAATTGAAGCTTTAGCTTAGCTCCATGAAAAAAACAGCAACATAAAAACGATATATTGTTTTTTTTCAGTATTTTTAACAATGTATGTTGGTCTCCCTGTTTGAGCTGGACATATCGTTAATTAAGACCAACATAATATTTGAAGTACCTGCTGGATGTCCTGATGCAGAGTGTCTGGGTTTTCATTCAGCTCCAAACGAGCTTTCTCCGTGGTCTCTGGGCTCAGGCCGGCGTGGAGGTGCGTCATCGTGAGGGTTAAGTCTCCGCACAAATTACAGTTTTATTCCGACAATTCTCCGGACAGTTTGTTGTACAATCTTGTTGATTTGGTTGTCGTTGTAACACAATCTTAATCGCTGTCTCTGATTTTAAACTCCACATTTACAGATTTTGTCGGTAAGAAACAATCACGCTGCTGTTTTCCTCTCACATTTCTGCAGGAAGATGAAAGTGTTTTGGTTTTTGTTGAAGCTTGTTGCAGGTGGTTTGATGAAGAAACAGGTCAGTGTCGGTGCAACATTCACATCCTTTTTTATTTTGTCCTACTTTTCCTCCCGTTTAGTGTCTTTCAGCTCCCTCCTCCTCCGGCTCTCTGTCATCTTTCTGCTTGTATTTCAGATTTCTTATAAGTCAGCTCTCTGCTGCATCATGGTGATCAGTCTGTCGTTTTTCTGCAGGGGTCAAAGGTCAGGCAAGGGAGCAAGGTCTCAGCCTGCAGGTGAGAGGAGACAGTACAGGTATAGTATAAATATTACACCGATCTTAAATTAGTCAATTTCTTCAGGGGTTTATTTGTAGTTTATTCTAGAGTTTGGGAATTTAAAAACCGGGATGATGATTTTCAGAATATAAGCCTGCAACTATTTTGTTTTCATTACATCTGTTGAGGATAATCATGCTAAATTAATTAATTAATTTTTCCTAAAAATGTCAGGAAGATTCTAGAAAACATTTCTTAGGGCCCAATGCAGACTATTGTTTTATTGCATTTACTTTTCTTACTTTTTGTCCTCTATATATATATAGAGCTAAAGCTGACATTGTAAAAAATGAATGCCTTTTTTATAATTTAAAAGAACAGTTTGACATACATTCATATGTATTTATTATATCCGTGTATATTTAATAATTTAATAAATGTTTCTTTCTTATTTTATTTTACTATAAGGGCAGCTTTAGTACTCCATACAATACACTTTGTAACAAAATAACATAGTAAATTATGCTGTATTTTTACTTTACTTTTAAATGGTACATGCTCTTTATATAGACTTTATTTTATTATATTTATAAATATCATCTGTTCTTGCACTGCTGCTGCTGTTTCTCATAGGGATCAATAAATGTTATCTTTATCTCAGATGACCCCCCCTCCCTGCTCTTTCTGACCCCCACCCCCCCCAACTCATCCCCATCTGCCTGCACATTAATTGTGTCAGGTGTCGTCCAATCTGTCCACAGAGACAGATAATAAAAAAAACTGAGACACTTGAAGGTCCCACAGGGCTCTGTTTTACATTTCCATCCTTGAGATCAAACATAAGACACTGAAATGCCCGGATGTGGCTCTTATTGCACATTATATTGAAGGTAAATGTTTGAATTTAATGTGAATAATTATATATTCATTTCCCCAGTCAATGTAATGATAAAAGTCACCCTCATGATATGAAGGTGCACGTGTATCCTCGCTAAATGTCCTCTAAAGGATCCAAAATAAGAAAATCCCCCAGGAGTGAGCAATTTAAGCTCTTCTGCATGCAGTTTGTTGTATTTTAATTATATATTTAATAGAACAGCAATACATCAGTGAGAGAGGAGCGACCTGCTAGGTGTGCTGGTTGAATCCACGGCCCTCCGGTGCTGCTGGTGCTGATGCTGCTGGTGGCCATCGGCATCCCGCGGACAAAATAACAGATTGCCGTCAAAAATTTAAAATAATACAATTAATATAAAAGCTTCCCTGAAGGCGTCAGATGTGTTTAAAGACCGTCCTTGTATAATCCGTGCAGGCTTTGTAGCAGCATCTCTTTGATGAGATGCGTTTTTACTTTGTGCTCCGAGAAGACGTCAGGATGCTCCCGAACCGTCAAGCTTTTCAAAATAAAGAGCAAGGCTTCCGGTCAGCACTTTCAAAAGAAAATTTGCTCACAGATTAAACCTACCACATACATTTACTGTTCTCATCATACATCTTAAATAAAGACCTGACACGTAGGTGCGTTCACACCAGCCTTGTGTGAGGGTCTAGTTTGAAGGAGTTCTTTCATGTATTCATTGTTTATGAAGTAAATTTGATTTATATTATAAAATGTATTTATTATAGCGTATATTTGACTTGCACATATTCTTTACAATTTACTTTATAAATGCCAATATTTGTATAACAAATACCGTACAGCGTTTTAAATCAAGATACATTTTACATTAATTTATTTATTTATTTCATATTTCTTCTAGTATTTTTTGTTTTACTAATTATGATTATTTACTTTTTTAGTGCTTGTTTTTCTCTTTCTCTTACTTAATAGATTGCTTTGGACCAAAACATCAGTCAAATACTTTGTATGTAAAGACTTTCATACAACAACAACAAACCTAAATTGTTGAGTACAAAAAAAGAATCTAGTAAGCAGATTATATATATATATAGGCACTAAAGAAAAAAACGACATACATAAACATTTACCAAGACAAAATTGCATACAAATAAAAAAATCCAAACAACAAATGCCAACAAATTCGAGGCTTTTATTTTGAAGCCATCCTCTTCTCGTTTCCTGTCTGGTTTGACCTACCTGCCTGCATGACAGCGGCTGACTGCCACGCGCGTTCATGAGGAACCCTGGACAGATTGTAGATTGATTGCGCGTACGAAGCAGCTGGTGCGAGCACACGTGTATGCGCAAATTGACATGCATGGGAAAAATCTACCAAACAATATTATTTTAATTAAACACTATTTTGATTCAAATTGTACACATTTATTATATAACTATTATAAGTATATGCTTACTTCATCGATGTTACCGACTTCATTTTATAATACATGGATAAGGATATGAATTGTAAATTAAAACATTAGAAATCATTCTGTATTAATAATTATTCTCACTAATAAGATGTATTGATCCTTGTAAGAATGTAAATGTCCAAAGGAAATGTTGTATATTATGTTGTATTTATCACTTTAAGATCGTAATACACTATAGTCTTCTATAATATGACATGTTATACTCATAGTTTTATATTTGACATACCATTCCATTCAATCATGTGTTTCCATATGTTATGTTATATTATATTGCTACATTTCACCGAATACTATGTCTTTATATCACATACTCTTAATTTACGTTATTGATTTTTTTCATGATATTTCAAATCACTTTTTTATAACACATGAAATTCGTGTATCTACCGTCCAATTGTTTTTCTTTATTAAACAAGTAAATGTACGGTGGCCCTGAAGTGCAAGACACTACAGCATTTCAGAAAACACCACAGCATTTCACAAAACACTACAGCATTTCACAAAACACTACAGCATTTCACAAAACGCCACAGCATTTCAGAAAACACCACAGCATTTCAGAAAACACTACAGCATTTCACAAAACGCCACAGCATTTCAGAAAACACCACAGCATTTCAGAAAACACCACAGCATTTCACAAAACGCCACAGCATTTCACAAAACGCCACAGCATTTCACAAAACACAACAGCATTTCACAAAACACAACCGCATTTCAGAAAACACCACAGCATTTCACATTGGACGGAAAGGGTATTCCTTTAGGGAGAACACTTCTTGTTTGTGATTGGACAGAGCCAGCCAGAGAAGCACTGCTGTGATTGGTTGTTTTTGCTGCCAGTCAAGAAATGACGCTTCGTGATTGGTCAACACCCGACAGCGAAATATATCCCAACACATCAGCCGTTAGCACACACTCAGAGCTCACAGCTCCTCATATCTGTTCAGAAACTGGACAAAAGTTAAACATGTACAAACCACAGACTGTCTGTGTCATGGCGAATACAGTCGCTGCTTTATTTATGTCTGTATGACGTTGTTGTGAGTGTGGACGGAGCAGCTACAGGTTAGTTTAGCCTGATGGATCCGATTCCATTCAGAAAACACGCATTTTAAAAGCTTTTCGCCTGCCGTCTTATCTGCAGACTTGTCAAAGCGTTAATTTATGTTTTTTTACTAACCGTTATCAGTATGTAGTTACTTCGGCATCACTTTGAAACGTGTATTACAATTAAATCACGGTCAAATATGTTCATTTTGTTGTAGTTGGCATCTCCCATAGCATTTACATGGAGATACGCCCCGCCCCCTCTCAGCGCCTCTTGTTTGAATGACAGGAGCAAACACAGCTGACAGCCGCGGTTAAACTCGAGCGATTAGAGCGATGCGAATATTGGGTGGTCTACCATAGTATTTACTTGGAGATAAGCCCCTTAAAAACCATGAATTAATAAAGCATTAATTCTGTGTTTACTCCTGTCATTCAAACTAGACGCTGGAGAGGGGGCGGGCCGTATCTCCATGTAAATCCTATCGGAATCGGATCGATCAGGCTAAACTAACCTGTAGGCTATAGCTGCTCCGTCCACACTCACAACAACGTCATACAGACACAAATAAAGCAGCGACTGTATTCACCATGACATAGACAGTCTGTGTTTTTTATATGTTGAACTTTTGTCCAGTTTCTGAACAGATATGAGGAGCTGTGAGCTCTGAGTGTGTGCTAACAGTTAACGGCTGATGTGTTGGGCCAATCACGAAGCGTCATTTCTTGACTGGCAGCAAAAAGAACCAATCACAGCAGTGCTTCTATGGCTGGCTCTGTCCAATCACAAACAAGAAGTGTTCTCCCTAAGGAATACCCTTTCCGTCCAATGTGAAATGCTGTGGTGTTTTCTGAAATGCTGTTGTGTTTTGTGAAATGCTGTTGTGTTTTGTGAAATGCTGTTGTGTTTTGTGAAATGCTGCGGCGTTTTGTGAAATGTTGTTGTGTTTTGTGAAATGCTGTTGTGTTTTGTGAAATGCTGCGGCGTTTTGTGAAATGCTGTTGTGTTTTGTGAAATGCTGTTGTGTTTTGTGAAATGCTGTTGTGTTTTGTGAAATGCTGTGGCGTTTTGTGAAATGCTGTGGTGTTTTCTGAAATGCTGTGGCGTTTTCTGAAATGCTGTGGTGTCTTGCACTTCAGGGCCACCGTATCACGGAAGAGCGTCTGAGAGGCGTTTTTGCTTTTTGCTTTTTACCTTACTAAATGGGCTGCTTCTCAGGTCGACAATTTTCATTTCCTCGCTCCTCGGTCCTCGGTCTCACCGGAAGTTGATTTGCCTGCGCCATCTTGAGTACCGTCCCATGGCTCTTATTTCTGCCGGAGGACCGAGGATCGAGGAGCGAGGAGCGATCATGGAGGAGCGATAACCGAGGAACCACCAGACCATCCTCCGATGAAATCCTCAGATACTCACCCCGCCCCCTTACTGTGTATCGCTCACTGATTGGACGAGGCAGTGCATGCACTGATCTGATGCTTCTTGACATGAGAGCAATACCCCAGCGGAGTGAAGAAAATACATGAACCTCACGGGACTCACTCCTCAGTTTATACTGTGTTTTGTTTCAATTCATGTATCATTTAGTTACAAATATGTGATATATCTAAACAACAAAGTGGTCAAACATTTTTTTATTCATTTATTGGAAAGATTTTCATGATCGCTTTTTTCGTTTATACATTTTAAGAATGGCGTTTATCTTTTTTGAGAATGACTTCTTATTTCTTATTTCATGTATTTGGATCTACAACAGATGATACTAATGTTTATGTCAGTAAATGTGCACTAACAGAGGCGGGGGTGTTTGTGGAAATAACGGGTACAGAGCTGGCTGCTGCCAGACGAACAGCTGTGCAGCGTCATCACAAACGGACGTCGCTTCACGTGACGCTCCGGAGGAAAGGACGTCCCATTGCTCTTAAAACTCATTTCCCTGCTTCTCGTGGTTTCCTTGCGTCCCTCCATGCTTCCCTGGTGGGAGGGACTAAACGCAGGGAAACGACGCAAGTGAGGGAAGCAAGGATTTCATTTAATCGACCTGAGAAGCAGCCTTGGTCTAATGGTCATTGGAGCGAGGGGCGGGGCGGAACTCACGGAAGTGATTTAAAAACAAAAGCACTCGTGTGCTTGGAACGGTGATAATATTATAAACAAGGTGAATTTAGCGATCACAACGAAAACGGCCAAGACACATATTGAGCCCAGAAAATGAATGATATTAAGGGCTGTATTTATAATAGGCCTATGTCTAAAATGGACAACATTGTTAGGAGATTTAAACTACAGCGATTCTGCACTGCGGTCACCTCAGCCGTCTCTCGAGTTTGTTTTTTCAATTCAGATGCTCTTCATTTTTTGTCCTGCTATATTTGATGATCGATAGCGATACACATATTTGTTATCATAAGTTCTTAATAAAACTGACACTGTTGGACTCGGTACTAGTTTGACTGCTACCAGAAATAAAATGAAGTAGCCTACTTTTACGGTCTACTTAGTGAATAATCCTCTGCCAGAGTCCCCTCCGCCTACATAATCATAGTACATAATGACATTTTCTGCTATCTTTGATGAGTGATAAAAAGACAATTTTACCATTAGTTCTTAATGATATTGATACTGCTTGACTCAGTAGTCTTACCCCTACTACCACAATACAATTAAGTACTTCTAGTGTGTTGTTTAAAAAAAAAAATCCTCTGTCAATGTCCCCTCCTGAGAACAAAATCAAGTCACTTCTGTTAAGTTTGATAAGGGAAAAAATGATTTTTGCCATTAGTACTTTGAAGTACTTTTACTATGTACTTTTCCAGTAATCCTCTGTCAATGTCCCCTCCTGAGTACAATAATGCATGTTTTTCTGCTATTTTTAATAAGCATTAAAAAGCCTTTCTTCCTGAGACTGACAGTATTGGACACTCCACCATGTCAATACGTTTCTGTTTTTGTAGTGTGTTGGTCTTTTGTAGAGGTTTTTCATTGCCAGCTAAAATATTGCCTATGGGGCAGC